CTCCCAGCAGCATAGGCTGGGTCCCTGGGTGACTGATCCCAGCCCCCTGAGAAGGCTCTGTGCTGCCAGGAGAAGGCACTGTTTGTTCCAGCCAAAGCCTGTCTCTGCCCTTAGAACTGTACACCTACCACCCAAGCTGTCGCTCAAGGACCTGGGAGCTGTCCCTCCAAAATGCAGACATGCAGGGGACAACTCTGCTCTCTCTCCCTGTCCCTAACTTCAGTGGGCACCTTGCTGCAACTGACACCCCTGTCTGCTGACATACACACAGAAGAGGTGTGCTTCTCCTCCATAGAAGTGCCACTTCACAAATCCAGGGGGCCTGGTCTCATAGCCATCCCCCACGCCCCCTGCACAGAAGCCTTTCCATGGCTTCAGCCTTGAGCTTCAGGCTTTGAGTGGAGTTCACACTGGATCTTACCCCTGCTGCAGTAATATAACTGAATCAAACCTGTTCCTACCACCTCTACTAGTATCTGGCTTTATCTTTGACAGAAGGGAAAGCCTTTCCTAACATTTAGAAGTCAATTTTAACACAAGAGGAAGGAAGCTCCTCTGACTCCTTCTAATTGGATGACAAAGAGCATGCCTGTGGATTTATGGAGAAACTGGAAAGCATTGAGCCCAGGGGGAGAGGCTGCAGGGCCCCAGGCCTTACTCCTGAGCTCCACTCCTTCCCAGGCCTCAGTTTTTCCATATGCACAATAATTCTCTCTACCAGCACAATGCCAGGATCTTAGACAGGAGACAATCAGAGTTTGGGGTAGGGGGCCCCAGAGCCTCACCACCCAGGTGGCTGTTGGGCCATCCCAGGGAAGTTTCCATGGAAATGACAACTTGTGCAGAGGGAACAGGTGCCCTGGACCCAGAAGGGAAGGGGGGTCTGGAGAAGGAAGAGATCCTGTGACGAGAGATAGGAGGCTGGTGGGATGGGCGTGGAGGCGGATCTCAGAGGCCCACGCAGGCTCACCATTGGAATCATCCATCCGAACTCTTGCTGGTTGATTCCGACGATGTACGGAACGGAGTTGAGCTGCTTTTCAGCCAGAAGCTCCTCCGGCATCTTCGGCAGCAGCACTCCATCAACCACAGAGGACAGGAAGGGCGGGCTCTGGGAAGAGGACATAACAGTGTCCATGCTGCCCTCCCCGCTCACACCCACGTCCTACTCTCAGCTCGTCTGAGCACGGCCAGCACCACACACCTGTGTGCCTGTGGGCAGTGGCACAGAGCTCAGGGTCTAACAAAGCAGCTAAGTCTGTGACCCCAGCGGGCAGTACTGGTCCCCAAAGTATTTGCAGTGGGCAGGTGATGGAGGGGATCTCCCTCAAATTGAAATATGTAAATATATTATGTTAATTTTTGTGTTTTATATAAAACTTTCAGCTTGAACTTTATGTCTATCTATATATATATATCTCTCATGACAGTCAATTCTCATTATTCACAGTGGTTATGCTCCGTAAAGTCACTGCAGACTCCGAATAAGTGAATCCGGAGCCGCGGCTCCCAAATCCCACTGTGTACACTCAAACCACCAGCAAACTCCATCCCCAGTTCCCAGTTTCTTTTTCTCCATAACGCTAGCCATCATCAGACACACTCCATATTTTATGTGTTTACTGTACTCTCTCCTCACTCCTAGAGGGCCAGGGCTTGTATCTGCTTTCTTTGCCCATGTTACCGGTCTATCCCTCCCCCACCTCCACCCACCCCCACTTCTTGCTCAAAACTCAGGCCCCGGCACATAGTACTCAGGGTTAAGGAAATCTTTGCTGAATGACTGAATGCATTTCATTCAATCCTCAAGACACCTTCTAGGGTAAGTGCTACTGTCCCCAGAGGGAAAGCAGAGGGGGTAGGACTGAGAGACATTGCAGAGGTAAAGGCATGGGAGCCTGGTGGCCCTCTGGAAGGTAGGACAAAAGGAGGAAGGGGAGGGGGAGGATGCTGTTGGAGTTTCCTGCGTGGCTGGGAGGAGTGCCCTCAGGACTGAGGCTCCTGGTTCCCTTCCTGGTGACCCTGCACACAGTGGCTAATCAGCCCTGCAGCCTCGCAGGAGATCTGGGCTCCTCCATGCAGGCTCCTGAGAGCCCTGATGCAGTTACTTCCCTCTCCCCGAGGTGGGAGTTTCTAGTGCAGCCTTCTCCCCCTGGGAGCAGGAAATAAAAAGAAGAAAAAATGTAGAGCCCAGCCACCCTGGCTCAGGGATTGAGTGTTGACCTATGAACCAGGAGGTCACAGATCGATTCCCAATCAGGGCTCAGTCCCCAGTGTGGGGTGTGCAGGAGGCAGCCAATCAATGATTCTCTCTCATCACTGATGCTTCTATCTCTCTCTCCCTCTCCGTTCCTCTCTGAAATCAGGAAGGGTGGGTATAGACTGGGCCCAGGAGACACAGAGTTAGTGACTAAGACCACTGGACCAGTAGTCATAGGAACAGGTTCTGGTCCAACATCTGGTCCTCCTGGCTGTGTTACCCAGGCAAGTCACTGCCCCTCTCTGGGCCTCAGCAATATAAACACAAGGAGTTACTATGCATCCACAGGGAGAAGTCTTTCATTCATCTTCAACTGGAGCTTAAAGGTGTCAAGATTTGAAACGTGTGACCCAGAAACCAACGGTCCTTACCTCTCGGGGGTCTCCATGTAAATCAATATGAAAAAAATTCTGTGAAAACAAAGGTAGAGCATGTGGGTGAGAGGCTTCCTGGGAGAAAGGCCGGTCTTGGGCAGCTGCCGCCAAAGGTGTCAGGCCCTCCCTCCCAGTGCCGCCCTGACTAGCCAAGAGTAAGTGGGCAGGGCATTGGCTCCCCTGGGCATGAGCTCAGGGCCTAGCTGTGGGTGGGGGAGGGGAGCTCTGGCGAGGATTTCTGTTGTGTGTGCCTGCCCTGCCCTCCATCCATTTCCCCTTCTTGTTCCCCAGGCAACAACACCCCGGTTTTTCAAGGGGACCTCCCTCATCCTCATTCCATGAGTCCAGACATCTATAGAAGACCTGGGTGTTCCATCTTACTGACCACAGAGATTAGCTCATGGATTGGCATGGTGCCCATGTCAGGACAATAGAGTTTACCCCAAACTCTTGCTAGAATTATTGGGAAAGGGGGTTTCTAAGCAGATCAGATATATGTCTAGACTAGAGTGCTGCCGTTGCCTTGAACCTCCCCAGGGGACCAACCTGCCTGAGAGTAAACCAACGCTAAGAGGTAAAAGTTGAGGGGTAGAGACAGATTCTAAATAATAGATGTGTGTCTGGGTCCAGCCATGCCTGAAGCCATCTACTCCTGAACTTTTCAGTCACCTGAAAATTGTGTGACAACACATTCCTTTTTCTGCTGAAGACACTTTACAAAGTTTTCCCATCTTACATCGGAAAGTTCTCACTCATGTAACCTCATTGAAACTCACCCCACCCCATGGTTCTCTCTGTGTATGCTCACCACTATTGCGCTGGTTGTCATGCTACACGGTAGCTGACTAGTAGGTAGAAACTAACCAGTAGGGTCCCTTCATTATGGGCTGTAGATCTACAGGCCAGCTGCTTATGGTGTGCGTGTGTGTGTGTATGTGTGTGTGTGTGTGTGTGTGTGTGTGTGTGTGTGTGT